CGTGCACCTAGGAAGCGGCGCCCCCCCTGAGCCCGATGCAGAAAAGAAGCCCTTCCAGCAAGCTGCAGAATCAAACATCTCTTCGTATCAGTGTGCCTGCATATGTGGCAGGGTCGGCGCCGCAGCTGTAGGCTCCAAGTCCATCACTGCGCCCATCGCAGTTGCCATGGTTCCAAGCCTGAGAAGGTACAAGTATCACCATGTCCAAATCGCAAGGATCTGTCACAGCCCCTTGTGACCTTAGATTTGGAGACTCTATGTGCTGAAACATTCACAGTCGTTAACATCGCAAGTTTCCACTACTGCTGGCCATTTTGCGCACCCGCACTTGCCAGCAGCTGATGTTCCGCACCCAGCGATGCCACACAAACATTCGACGCAACCTAGATTGCTCAAAGTGTCCATGTAGTAGTGCACATCTGCCACGACCCGAGTTCTTCGCTCCTGTTCAGGGAGCATGGGCGCATGCGGACAGTTCCTTCCTCATCTCTAGCCTGGCATGCTAGTGGCTAAGCAGGTTACAGCGGTTCCACCACCAGACAAGTTGAAAGGTTCTCACTGTCACAGTCGCAGGCATGGCTTCGTCCTCCAACGTGAAAGCCTGCTGGTACCAGGGCACTGCTAAGCCACCGAAGTCCTGAACAGGTCAGGAAGCTCAGACTCCCAGCAGACCGACGGGTAGCACACCAGTGGCAAGTCATCATAAGGCCCGACCCAGTGCCATTCCGAGATGTGCCACAAGGCACTGGACAGAGAAGCAGGCCAGCATTCTGTTCTCCCAGGTTGCATGCTGCTGACCCTGGAGTTGGACACATAAGGTTCTTGTTTTGCACTATTTGTCAGTGTGTGTTCAGGCCTGAAGCCTGAGCTACCTGGACGTGCAGCTTAGCTGCCTGGAAAGCTGTCTCGACCAAGCTCACGTAGAGCTTAAGTCCAACAGGAAGGCGTGAGCCTGACGAGACTCTTGACGGCAAGGAGAGCTGAGCATGAAATCGGGCAGATCTAAAAGAATGGCTGGGCTTTCGCGAAGCATAAAGCATTTGCAGTTGAGCCACTAAGAAATCTTGCCGATGCTTCTCCCAGCCAGGACAGGATGGCCTCACAGCAAGTTGGGAATACCAAACTTTAAGACCGGACAGTCGCGACACCCTTGCGAGTCTCTTTCTGGCTTCCGATCAACTTTGAAGGATCATGCGTGCTGATACCTATATCGCCCCACGGGAGACGCTGTGGGATAAGGACAGCATGGCCTGGTCAGGAGCAAATTGCTTCCTCGGCTCCAGGCAAATGCATTTTCCAGAAGCTTCGATCTTCCGCACGCTGCCTCTGAGCCTACTGCTATCCAATGCCGTCCGCAGATTCCCCTTTGCAGGACTTGCCCCTCGAAGTACCCGGATAACAGAAAGGCAGCGCTTGCCCTCCGATTTGCTCGATGCACAATTCAGCTGCCAGGCTAGGAAGAGTGTCGCCGATTAAGCATGCAGCATGCAACATCGTCAGTATGCAACTACTCTAGACTGTAGTCAAGCGTCCAGCGGTTCATGTGACCGGGCTCGTTCATGAGGGTGACCCCGGCAATCGTGCCTGAAGCAGGGTAGCATCAGCGTCTACGGAATGACGTTGCCTCTCACCTGCCATCCAGACTTGCAATATTCAAGTTCATCATTATTAACAGTGAAGGGAGCCCCAACTCCGAACAAACTCCGGCGCTGCCTTGCGCCTCCAGGTCCATATTCTCGATCCAGTGCACCAGTTTCTCGGCCAGAAAGCGATTGTTTCAAGGGTTTCAAACAAGGTGCCGTGACGACCACAGCGATGCGATGCCAATGCCAGCTCAACTCCAAGAGTCATCGACGATCCAGAGCCCGATCTGCGTCAGACTCGTGCTTCCAATCCGTGACTTCTCCTGCGCAAGCTTGAACCTCTTCTGTCACGAAGGCCTACTTCACAAAGCATTCGACAGCAATTTACACAATGAGTCCCAATAATTGCGACCATGCGAGGGGTATACTAGTAATCATATGAGTCGACGAGAAGGTCAAGCAGGCCTTCAAGAAACGCCCTCGCACGCCTTGCTTCGGATCTATCCAATGGTGCATCAGTAGCGGATTTTCAGAACTTTGTGATGGAACAGTCGCACTGCAGTGCCCCACATGATTGAGCTCACGATCGCTTCAGGATATTCATTGCAGCCAGACTGTCGAAATTTGTCTAAACATGGCATCACCCCATGCCCAACATCAAGGTAAGAGCCCCTGACAACTTACGAGGATTTCGCCCTCGTGGCTCCTCTCTCTTTCAGGGATAGCCGCTTAGGACCATGCTCTCAGTCTCACGTTCTTGCAGTCATTGTGGACCAAATCTATGGAAAGTTGTTGTCTCGGCACGACTCGGCCCCGCCGCTGCGCGGAATCCCGAGGCATTCAGGCGAGCCACCGTCCAGAAGGCACATTTCAACGGCCAGACTCCATTGTAGGTACCATGAGAAGCGCCACCAGGGTACGCGTGGACATCCTCACAGCGTCCAGTTCTGGCTCTGGTTTTCGCTCTCATTTTGCGACGAGCTCTGAGGGAGGCACCAGAATCACGCTCAGTCCGTGGGCTCTCGCCTGCAGCTTCATGAGCAGAGAATACAAACACTCTTTGAGTTGAACATCGGCTGCTATGGAGCGCAAATCGCTCTATGGCACTCTCCCTCCCTCTCTCTCTCTTTTCTTTTCGCTCTCTCTCCGTTGCAGGCTTGACTCTCCGGCTCTCTCTGAGCTGGCATACAAGACTTCGAAAGTAGATTAGGTTTTCTCTTGCTGTGTAGTTTTAGCAAAAGGACTTCCCACAGCAACATGAGCATTCGGCAACAGACACTATGCTCATGCGGTCTCGTGAGCTTTGTCCTCACAGAACAGTAAGGAATCCAGAAACTCTCTGCAGAAGAACAGAAGAATTGCGGCCAATTTCTCGATTGGGGCCAACATTCTCAGGATCGCAGCATAATCTGTTCAAGGATTTTGTCGCCTGCAGCACCTCGTGCCGATGACTCCCCGTTCCAACTTCAACAGCATGTGCCGCTACTGCAGCCTTGTCCTCTCGCTGCAACCCTCACTTACTATGGGCCATGGCCGAAACGTGTGCCTCGTGGAGGAAGTCCGTCAGCAGTTTTCTCGGAATCGTGACGAGGGAAGCATTGTCCTCGCACTGGAGAGGGAGCCAGCAAATGCTGGGACTACCGTTTGCACGCGGGGTCGCTGTAGAAGAGTGGTACAGTACTAGGATCTGATGCGACGATGCCTTGCCTTGTAGAACGGATCCGGCCTGAAGTCGACACCGAAAGGCTTTGATGCTGCGAAAAGAACGCCGACGTAGGGCTCCCACACCGTAATGATGTCCAGGTCAGCATTGTGGGAAGCATAGACAGCCTGATCGTGGTCTTTGAGTTAAAGCGGGCGGCGCAGTCAATCTCTGAGTTTCTACGTTCCGTCTTTGCCATGCGGAAGTGTCGATTCCGCCAAGTTTTGGGAGACCCGCCTGGTCTAGCGGGCCGAGGGCGTCTGCGAAGGCTGCCCAGGTGATCGGCAGTCGGACCTGAGGCCGCGACATCTGTAAGCCACATCTAGATTTGTCGCGAGACTGGCCCGTCTCGCGGCCTATGCTCAGCCCGGTTCTACTCTTTCAGCTAATGCTTTCCGATTTCCAGATCTGCCTTCTATCCAATGAACCTTTCCTTCTTTGTCTGCCTGTCTTGCTTTGCTGGGTAAAAGCTGGTGGCGAATTTGCTGGCCCTGCAAGTTTTACGCATGCGGAGCGTGGACCTCGGAGACAAAAGAACCCTGGGCGGCCTCACAGTCAAAGCGCTCAAGCCTTCTTTTCAACATGCTAAGTCCCATTCCGTGGTTTGATCCGCGAACAAACAGGGCATCACCTTCAGATGCTTACGGCTAACATGGCCAACTGTGCGACGGAGATGCTTCGATTGGCACTCCTCTATTTTTCTTTGGCCTGTTAGCCGTACATCAGCGCCATTTGGCGTTAGCTTGTCCTGTGAACATGTCTTCTGCCGCTCGGGCATCAGTCAAAGTCACCACGGGATTCGCAAGAAACTGCCTGAACTCGTCACAAAGAGTTCTTGATCTTTTCGTCAGGCAGTCTGCCTTCTGTTGTTCTGTTGGGACCCATCGAAGTCCTCTGCATGACTCTCGTAGTCCAGCGATGTCCACCTCCACACGCTTTTCGGCGAAGGTCGTTGACATCCGGTGCACCGAGCCCCATACGGAACGCGAGTCTGTGACTGGGATCACAGGGTACGCGGGCCTCTGGTTGTGGGTCGCGATGAAGCTGCCGTCCGTCATCTCCGAGAACATCAGGGCCAAGTAGTTCCCGTAGTCTTGTGCTCTGTCCAGAGCACAAGCTTCTGCTGCCAGCGTTGACCGCAGAACACGCTGATGTCTGTAGCTTTTCCATTCGAAGATAGAGCCCGGTCTTGGCTCCGTGTAGACGGAGTCGTCACTTGAAACCAGATGTTGTCCGCCTTGACTCTTACCTCCGCAAGCATTTCCCCAGCCGCTGTCGCCGTAGCAGATGAAGAGGAGGTTCGTCAGGTTCACGGGGTGCATGCGCACGACGGAGTCCTGGGTCGCCCTGACATACCTTAAACGCGTTGATCTCCAGCAGGTCGGACACAAGCAAGTCCTTGGGGGTTCTAGATCAGGGAGACATCCACGGAGATGTCGCCTCTTGTGGTGCCCGCCAGCCATTGTAGGGAGCCAATGCCGCTCCGATACTCCGTCACCAGGTCGGAGTAGTCCTTCAACGGGGTGCTCGGGTCGAGCTTGGTCTTGGTAAGCGGAACTTCAGCCACGTAGCCTTCTTGATCGATGGTGATCGTGCCATCGTCCTTCTGCTTAATGTGGCGTCCCACGAATTTGAAGTCGCGACTGACCCAGGGCGAGCGCCACTCGAACTTGGAGTGCACGTCATCCAGCACGCCCGCGTGGCCTTCCAAGGCCGCAGCTATGACGTCATCCACATGGATGCCCAACACAGCAACCACGGCGTCATTGTGGCGGTACGAAAAGAGACATGGGTCCAGAGAGTGGCGGGCCCATTTCAGACGCCGGGGCGCGTTGCTTTGCCCGTAAACTGGAGCAGACAGCTTGTAGAGGAGCGCAGGGTCGTTCCACTCCGGGATAGCCTCCAAGGCAACGGGATCCTTGGGAGGAGCCATAAAAATAGGCGTAGGGCGTTCATCGTCTGGTCGGCCCTGTAAAGATGCCGACTTGCAATCCCCATTCCATAGCGAGACCTTGTGCGAGCAGCTCCATTGAAGGAGAAGCATGAAGCCTGCTCTTGAAAGGAGTGGTGAATCTCTGGTAAGTAATGGTAAATGGGGATCAGGAAACCCGGCTACCACCAGCCGTGCAATTGCTTTGAATTTTCCCTCCTCCTCGGCATTGGGCTTCCACCGGTAGCAAAGCCTGCTCTTGAGAATAAGACTGCGATCCACCTCGCCGGGTTTCACCTTGACGGGGTGGCACGAGCTCCATTTCAGCCACTCCTGTCACTGGGATGTGACAGCTGCCACGAACGAAGGACGCTCCTCAGGCGTCATCGCCTTCCAGGGTAGCTCCTTCTTCAGCGCCTGCTTCTTGGCACATGTAGCCTCGTGGACGTGGCCTCTATCGTCTCCTTTGTCACCGGAGGTCTCCGTGGCGATCTGTTCGCTGGCCTCGGTTGTAGCAGTCAGCCGGTAGGCCTGAGACATTGGCCACTTCAACCACTCGCGTAGTCGACGCCCTTGATGTCGAAGAGGGGAGAACCCCAGTTGCCGTAGACGATGTAGATCACGTAGGCGGGCTGTGTCGATGGACCTCGTGGTATATATACGCCGTAATACTCCAGCGGTCGCCGGCAAACTTCTCAGTCTCGTGCAAATCGGAGGGAGAGAACTCCAGGATCTGTTGATGAGCGTCGTGGTAGTAGCCGGCCACCGGCTTCCCGTTCATCTTCCTCCACACCACGCCATCGGGACCCACAGCCTCAGAGCCATCCGCCTGTACCCACAACCGTCCTCCGACATACTCGCCAAAGGTCACGTGATAGTGCATGGACGACTTGGCGTTGTGACAGTCTCGGCGGGGGAGGGCACGTACGTTGCGGGAGATGCTCACGGACGTAGTCGGCCCGGAGAGCCCATGGTACTTCAAGTATGATGTAATGTAGCGGGTCAACTTCTCGTGCCTGGTTGTGTCACGAGTAACTCCGGAAAAATTCCCGAGCGAGAACAAACCCAGAACGAGGTTGCCAGATTTGTTCTTCTCCGCATGGCAGCTTCTCGAGGCTGGTCTCAGACGCACCGCATCCAAGAGCTGGAGTCAGGAGTCGTGGTCAAACACACCTTGTGCTTGAGCAGTTGCGCGGCCAACCGCTCCGAAGTGCTTGTAGTACTTGTCGTTGCGAAGCACGAAACATGATCGTCTCCCAGGCCCTCGGTCACACCGGGTCGATCCTCATGGTTGCCACACACGTGTGCCGCCGTGAGAAACGAATGGCGCTCAAAGATTGGTTGTAGCTCATGCGGTGTTCCGTCCCATCCGCCCTGGAACTGAGAGCCCCTGGCATGTCGACGTAGTACATCCAGGCGCCGGGTAGGACTGAGGTCACGCACGTCCACTTTCAAAGTTTGTGCTTGTAGTGGAGGAGGAGTCTCAACAGGAGGTGCAAGGTCATCCAGAGGGTACTTGTTCAAGCCAGGCGGAAGAATGGCGTCGAAGGCTTGTCGTTCTTGAACTTCATCAAACCACCGAGATTAACATCGGCTGGATTCGTCACGAAATGTTCACAGCCGCATCTGGCACAAGAGGCCGCCTCGCCATGCAAAACACGATGTTGTTCACCGCATTGTTGACAAAATGTCATATCCGAACTCAAGGCCACGGGAAAGGATTGCGCGGTTTCGGCGTGACCTTTGCCGTCGCCGCCAACTTGAAGCTCGTCATCACGAAGAGCTGCATCACTGAACGGAGGGCGCATAGAGCGTAAGAGGGCATCTTGTAGCTGTACCTCCTCAGGTGTAGAAGAAGCTTGACGCTTGGTGCCACGATGGTCTGGATACTCTGACACCATCAAACGCTCCAGCTCTGAAGTCAGTCCCCCTGAAGAGCGACGCTCAGATGTCACCTGCCGTGATACCGACTCGCCCTGAGTACAAGGTTCACGGGACACAGACTCACCACGTGTGGGCACAGGACGGGACACAGACTCACCACGTGTGGGCAACAAAGCACTGGAAGCCGACGACTGTTCTGGAACTGGAGCGAGATCCTGCGCACTGGTAGCCGACGACTGTTTTGGAACTGGAGGGAGATCCTGCGCTGCTGGGGCTGGTTCGTGTACGAGTGATCTGTCTTCCGGCACTGGGGGCAACGCCAACGGCGCTGGAGCACCACGACCACCACCAGGAGTGCCCGGCAACAATCTTGGCGTTGAAGGAATAGTCCGGGGCGTAGGCGGCACCAGCATCAAGGGCTCCAGCATCAGAGGTGGCGAAGGTTCCAGAATAGGTTGACCGCGAGCGTCCAAAGGGACATCAGCAGGCTCGGGTTCGGCAGCCGGGGCAGCGCCGCACACACCGACGTCGGCTCGAAAGGCTAGCGGGTGCCGCGGCAAATCCTCCTCAAAATTCTTAAGCAGGTCGAGATCCTGTTGTCCAGGCTGCCACCACTCTTCCTCAGCATGGGGAGGAACAACTCGACATTGCTCACGGCTGCAAAGCACCAAACGTTTTCCTTTAGTACGTACCCAAAGGTTGCCGTTGGGGCCATCAAGGGCAACCACCACTCCTTGTCGATATCCTTCCAGAGTCCCCTGGCCATCGAGCTGATTCTGGCCCTATAGTAGGCGATGCGCTGTCCCACCTCAAAAGGACCACGAAAAGGACGGCCTTTCCGTAAGAGAGCCGCGCGGAGGGTGGAGTCGTATTCGAAACGAATGTATTGTGCCATTGCCATCGCCTCAGCACGAACGGATTCAATCTGTCGGAGACGTTCGGAGTCATCAAGAAATTGGCATGCTTCCATGTTGCCTCCTGTTGAAAGGAGGGCCCCCGGCAGGCGAGGAAGGCGACCCGAACACCCATTGAGATGGAGTACTTCCGCTGCGTCGCATCAAGGAGTTTTTGGCCATGGTCGTCATACTCACTACCAAATTCATCTCCGGGGTGGAGGTCGGAGCGAACTGGGACACCAAGGCTCTGACCACGTAGCGAATGGCCTGCCCGTGTCGTTCCGCATGACCAAGCTGACGATGAGCATCCGCTGGAATATAAACAAGTTTGACTCCACACTGGGCCTGGAGGCTCTCGAACGGATAGCCCTTGAAGGCGCCTTCGGCGTCAAGAAGAAGTTGATCAGGATAGCCAAAGAAGGAGAACCAACCATTGACCAGGAGGACCTTCAAGACCTCGCCCTCCGTGCGGTTGGCGATGTAAGCCAGAGCTTGATAGCTCGTTGCCGTGTCCACCTGGTTCAAGTAGGCATACATGGCACCGCGGATGTCCTTTAGAAAGAGACTGTCCAAAGACAGTCGGTCATTGAAGCGGCGCGGCACGAAAGGCTTGATTGGTCGAGCAGCACGTGGAGGAGCAACTCGACGACATACCTCACATTGAAGATGCCGTGAGGCAAGTATGGCATTATCATGCGCTCCTGCATGAACCAAGTGACGAACCAAAGTTTCCTTAGGTGGATGGCCAAGATTGCTGTGAATCCTTCGCAGAGCTTGCAGAAGCCATTTGGGCGTCTCTCGGTCCAGCCCCGGGAAAGTGATATCCCGACACCCAGCCTGGTAGGGCTGAAGAGCATCAGCTGCATCTAGCTCCTCCGTCTGCTTCGTCCTCGAAGCTGCCGGCACATGCTTGGACTCAGGCTGCAAGTTCTCGGTATCGTCCAGCGAGGAGTCGGGAGCCGTGCCATAAAAGAAGATAGCAGGACCGGACTGGCAAAACGAGAAGCCGAGTTCTTCAGGATGGGCTTAATGGCCTCTGCCTTGATACGTATAGAGTCATCCGACATGTGCAGGCCCTTGAGGAAATGATTTCAATTGGGAGCCTCCGTACCATAGGCGTCCTGGGCACCAGGGTCCTGATCTTTTCGAACAGCGGAGTTGCCGCCTTGACAATGGCGGACAGCGCGGCCTTGCCGCGCAAGCATTCCTCTGCTTCCTGAAGTAAAGGTTTCCAAGCATCGGTGCGCCGGTTGACGTCCACAAACAACACCTCGGCAGCTGAGTCCTCACCTGCCTGAGCATAGTTGCTGCAGAAGCTCGTCACCATGGGCAGCCAGGGACTTCTCCAGCCCATCAATAACTGCCTCGCATAGATCCGAAGTGTAGACCTGGGCGGACCGGGTGACCTGGCCACCCATGCAACGTGCGTGAGGTTGATGGGGTCCGCATTCGCACTGCAAGGCCACCGAGCTCAATTAGGACCTCTGGGAGATCCGAAAGCCATGAGGTCGGCTTTTTCAGCAAGAGGCCATTGTTGTCCTTGAGTCCGAACCGACACATGTGACCAGTTTGCAAAGTCACCCCGGGGACGGAGCGCAGTCGCCGTAGTGCTGGGTGATCCCAGAAGGGAGTGCCCGCCGGGTTCTCAATCAAGAAGTGACAACCTTCCCGATGTGGATCCTTCGTGCATCGGTCCAGGTTGAGCGCCTTTTTCGCTGCCATCGCTGCACTCGTCGACAGCATAGTGGCTGCTGTGCTTGGCACCATATGAGTGCGAAGAACGGCGTCTCGGAGAGCTGGCTTCAGGCTTATGACTGAGCAAAAGAGAACTGCCTGCTGCACCGATGTCACGAACTCGAGCAGCCGCGCCATCATGTTCCGCCAGCTGATCAACCATGTTGGAGAGGGCATGAGGCACCGAACGAGCGGCGTCAACAATCTTCTTCAGGGCTGCTGTCGAGCGATAAGCTGCTGGATGAATTGCATCTGGAGCTTCAGGGGGTATGTCGAACAGGGGCCATGCAAAGGGGTGCTTCAGGCCACTCATCAATTCGGATTGAAAGATGACCACATGGTGACAACCACAGCTGCGAAGACTTGTCCAGAGCCCTGAAGTAGATCGTTCCAGTATGTACGTCAGGATCAGCCCCTAAAGACTCAAAGGCTTTGCGAGAAAGAAGTGCTGGGGCTGAAGCGGCAACCGAACTCACGCAAAGCATGAGGGGCTCACTTCCAATGTCAACTGGGTAGACAAATCGGCCCTGACTCCGCAGCGGCCGACCTGGCCCAAAGCTGAAATGGCACGAATCGTCCAATGCAATTGCTTGTAGCGGCTTGACTTCAAGTGCCTTCTGAGTGCGCCATGCCTGCCCAGCTACCTGTCTTTGACAACCCGTGTCTGCGATCATGAAAGCCGCATTCTGAAAGTTGTGGTAATTCAAAAGGATCGAAGGGTTCCGGTTCATCTTATCAGAGCAACCAATGTACTCAAGTGCCAAGTCTTGCAACTGGGCAAAGTCAGAGGAGGAGGCATCTTCAGGACTGAGGGCTGGAAGTCGCACGATCTTTTCCTCGCCCGGCTCAGCTGAAACCATCCAGCATTCGGCAACGACATTGCCCTCGGCGTCGAGTTCGATGCCGGCAGTTGAAACCTGTGCATTGTGAACGTTAAAGCTGGGGCAACCCTTGATCCAGTGATCGGGAGATCCACATCCGAGGCACAGGCAGCCCTTCAGCCTTGAGCGGTGCAGCGACGTGCTCACCTTGGCGCCTTTGCCGTTGTCAGTCTTGCCCTTAAACTTGCCGCCAGGAAAAACATGACCGCCGCCTTTGCCACTGACACCCTTGCCCTTGGACTCGCCGCCCTTGCCGCGGCCCTTGGAGCCCTTAGGAGAACCAGCGAAATTGGACTTTCCCGCCTGGTAAAATCCTCTCGCTTGTACCAAGCCAGCCAATCTCTTTGAGGTGACCGTAAGAGCCTGGGCTGCAGACAGCAAAGCCTGAACATCATCACTGGGGCCCTCGGTGTTGTTCTCATCGGCTCCCTCATCCTGCTCGGGAGCCTCGTCGGCGTCAACATCCGGGTGATCGGCTTGGTTGTCTGCCTCAGCCTCGTACTCACAATCCTCCAGCGGGTTGTCGTGGAGGTCTTCATCGGGGTTCTCGGGTACCATGTCGAGATACTCGCCTTCAGCGACCGCGTCATAGTCATCCTCCCACGTAGTGTTCCACTGCTTCCACGGGCGGCCGGTGCCGCGAGACCTCGATGCAGTAGAACCGGATAACGTAGCCGATGACGAAGAGGAAGAAGGAGCATAGCTTGACCTCCCTCGAGACCGTCCTTGCTGCTTGCGAAGCTCAAGACGATGTCCAGGAACGCCAGTGATAGACATCCCCGGCGGGTAGTGCACCCGCAGAGCGTCCAAAACGCCCTTCATCTCGTACTTGTTGCCCGCGGCAAGAAGGATCTGCGCCGTTGCCCTTTCCTCCAGTCTAAGACCATCAAAAAGTTTGACAACCCGGGCCGCTTCAGGATACGCCGGAACCTTGCTTTCCTGCATCTTGCGCTCCAACAAGCGAAATCGAATGAAGGCATTCACAGACTCACTCTGTAAGCGCCCAATGCTCTCGTACTCACGAATAGTGCCCCCCTGTCTGAACAGCTCACGCTCTCCAAAGGAAGTCTCAAGGTCTCGCAACAGCACCGAAATCCCGTCCTCACAATCGTATCGGCTGTCCTCCACTTCCTCCAGCTCGAGCTCAGCATCACCTCGGAGTTGTTCAAGAGCACGAAGAGCCTGTTCATTAGGTGGTAAAAATTCACGAGTGATACGAACCCACCACCAAAGTCTGCGTCGATACTGCCTCAAACAGCAAGGGTTGCCTTCCACGTCTCCGTCGAAGACAGGTGCAGTGGGAATCGCACCGGATTTCCAGCGCTTGCTGGCGTCGTTGTCAGCCTTGGCACTGACGGACCCCCGGGGAGCCGTGTCCTTGCCAGCGCCTCCCCGACAACCTCTCTTCCTACGCCCCGCAGACAAAGGCGTCATGACATTAGTCTCGTTCGAGCCGGCACCTGGGCTCCCATTCCTGCGCAATCCACAGAATGTCTGTCGTCGCCGGCTGCAGAAGGATTGGATGCTGCAAAGTCGGCTGGCTCAGCGCCATCGGCGCCCTCATCGGCGGAGTCAGTAAGAAGATCTTCGTCGAAAAAGGCAGCCATCCCAGGTAGTGTCCCCCCGGGCAGTCGCTACCAATGCAAGTTTTACGTATGCGGAGCCTGGACCTCGGAGACAAAAGAACCCTGGGAGGCCTCACAGTCAAAGCGCTCAAGCCTTCTTTTCAACATGCTAAGTCCCATCCCGTGGCTTGATCCGCGAACAAACAGGGCATCACCTTCGGATGTTTACGGCTGACCTGGCCGACTGTGCGACGGAGATGCTTCGTTTGGCAGGCCCTGCTTCTGCCGTTCGTGACATCAATCCGTCAAATGGTAAGAATGCACAAGGGTCAGCTCCTTAGAGCGGACACAGAGGGGCAGCCTCGTCACGAGATTCTCCCATGTCCCTCCGTTCCCACAATCCGAAGCGATTCAACTTATCGGGTGGCGTCGTTGGCTCTACCTCCATGGCTTTCGCAGGCTTGCCCCGCCAACTCGCGCCGTGTCTCCCACGACAAATCCGTCCGAGACAGGTGTTCTGCGATCGGAGGCGGCATAGCCATGGGCTCTCAGCAGACGGCATGTTGATGCAGAAAAAAGGCCTGCAATCAATGCAACCGGAGAGCTTTTCGCAGGCCCGCGCTCGCGATCTCTTGCAGGTCCTGGAACTTGGGGGTTTGTTTGGAGAGTCTCCTCTAAGAGACAAGCCTCCTCAAAGCCGGAGTGGTCTCAAACACAGCAAACGGCTCAGCCCCGCGATAGGGCGCCCGCAGACTTAGTACTGAGAAGTGGATACCATGCAGGCATTCTCAAGTAAAGCCCCTGCCTCGGGTGTAACGAAGTGCGTCCGGTATTCGGATATGGCTTGGACTGCCTGAAGTTACAGGCAAGGTCTTTGTAAACAAACAGCGATGTCAGGTCCACAAGCGCAAAGAATCAGTACACCACCAGACATCTTTAAGCGGCCTCAGCCGTAGTGAGTAAAAGAAATCGCTTGGCGAGGAGTGCTGACAGGGGGCATAAGCCTGACCATGCTCGTTGATGAGCTGTCGCGTGAGCAATCCTTCCTCGGCTCTGGGCATCTCATGCAGCTTGCAACGGCTCATCTGAGGTCTGCCTTGACTTGAGTGACTTGACGTTAACAGATGCTCCAAAGCAGCTCTCAACGTTGTTGCCCCTGTTGGCAGCAACCATGCTCCGAGAAACCGAAGCACCCCGGCCTACACCCATGAGACACGTCTTGCCATGCAGCGGATGTCCACGGACTGTTCATCAAGGGTATTCGGGGAGGCAACGCATACCTGAAGAAGAGCCGCTGCAGAACAGAGGTACCTAAGGAGCCCTCGTTGCGTTCTGCCTCAGAACCCCCGCCATTAACACCAAATCATTAAGCTGCGACCTTCACAACAATTTGCTTGGATCGCAAGTCTCAGGAAATACCTCACTGAATCGGAACACATCAGCATTTTGCAGAGGCCAGGTGCCCTTGGCCCTGCTCGTGAGCACTGGAGACAAGCCCTTGGCGAGGCTTTGCAAAGCTTCTGCGTGGCGGGGATGTGCTATCACACCTTTGAACACAGACACTCTACAGCTTCCGATTTCGATGTAGAAGTTAAGCTCTGGCCTTGACAGGAGCAATCTTGATCTCCCGACTCCTAATCTGTAGGCACTGCACATCACCCTGAAAGGGTACCACAAATGGGACGCAGGGATTGAAGCTACCCGCTACCTGCAGCTCTCAGAGAAAAAGTCATGATGCCCACAAGGCCAAGCTTCTGCCTTTGCCCATGGAAAAGAACCAGTCCTGCAAGGAAACGCACCAAAGAAGGAACGCGCGCACACGACGAAACACATGCGCTGCTTTCTGTCTTTCTGTCCTCCAAGCAAAGCCATCCACCGAGGCTCACTCCGCCCAGGCCCAGGCCTTTGAGGCCCTTCAAACTCGCCTCGATACGGCCACCACAAGCGGGCGCTCTCTCCCCGTCCCCGCTTCCACACCTGCGAGGCGTTCTGCAGCTCATAGGCCTGTGCAGAGCGCGAACATCCCCTTCCCGCAGGCATAGAAACTCATCACGCAACATCGCTTCGTTGCAGAAAACATCCGGCCGCCTGCGTCACGCGGGCACCTGTGAAGTTGGAGATGACATGTGATGGCTGGCGATTAGCTTCGTGCAGAGATGACGGCAAGACGGTCTGCTTTCGAGCGGCGCGCTTCAGCCGTTCAATCTCCTTTTACTTTACAGAACCGCTCGACCCAGTACCGAAACTTCCGAGATCCCCGCTCTCCGGACGAAGCCCAGCACCCCTGATCGAGGCGTTGAACTTTGTTGGAAGTGCAGCTACCGCCGGTCTCACGACTGATCGGATACAGCTTCGGCAACACCGGCCCGGGATCTGCTTGCTGGTCGCAGGGCCCTAGATTGCTTGATAGTCACAGGCAGGAGTGAGAGACTTCAACATGCTGTGAACGGCCGTGCCGAACAATGCTGCCGAATGCGCCACAATAACGCTAGCCCTCAACCGCCTTGGTGCGGGGCCGACGGCGAAGCACACGACCTGGGCAGCACGAAATCATCAACTAGCAAACGGAAAGCATCTATATTGATACTCCCTTTCTCCGAAATAGCTGCCAAAAATCGCTGCCGAAAACCAGGATCGACGACGACGTTTGAAGCCGTGGCAAAGGTTTTGAAACCGTATACAGGAGCTCGTGTTGGAACAACGGCCAGTTAGAGCCCCCGGCAGCCACCACGACCAGCACCGCTGCCCAAAAACACCAGCGCAGAGCAGGAACTGCCTCAGGAGACACGGCAACCAGCTAGCAAAGAATTCCTACATGTGCCAAGAGGTGACAAGTTCGGGGTGTGTTTTGGAGGGCGGTCGTCAGAGGCAATGGCATCTAGCTATTGCTACCTGTTGCGCCGAGTGCGTGATTGGATGTTTCATGCCGCCTGTGAAGTCCACTGTCTTCGGTTCTACCCTGAACTTCGGACGAGCTCCGGGCTCTGAGCGGTGCCTCACTGCACTCGCCTCGCGCAGATGGGATTGGGGGCTACTGTAGGACACAAACTGCTCAAGAGAATACCTAAGACCTAGCTACATTGTAGAAAAATGAACTGGCAAGTTGGCATCCGCGAATGCTGCATGCTGCAGAACATGAAATCTTCGACGAGAGGTTGCCTCGCAGCAGCTGCTCGGCCTCAACCGCAAGGCAACACCAATCGCAAGCAACAACTTTGACCTGGGTTCCAGTTTCTGGGACCGTTCCTTCATCAGGTCATGAACCGCCAAGCCCTCCAAGATAGATCTCGATGACTCCCTCACATCCTGAGGGTGCGAGATGCACCCGTATGCGGAGAGAGATGACAAGGTAAACAAAAAGAGCAACGTGACCGCTTAGTGAAACTGTGCGAGTTACGTAATGCTAGGTGCCTACAAAGGACTTTATGACTGACTCGGACATCACGACTGGAGAGGCACAGCACAAAAAGAAGGCGCAAAACAGGCCTCGTCAGCCGCGCGCTCTGCAGTGCCTGCGCACGAGACCTTAGAAGCGTGGGCATCGCCGACCGAACCCGCCAAAATGGCAGCAGTATGGCGCCATAGAATCGACTGGACACTAAAGAACCGGCCACGGCCACTTCATGGCAACTGCTCACCTTGGGCTCTGGCAGCACCAGCACCGTCTTGGAGGAAGGGATTCGTCGGCATTGCTGACCGCACGGCTGGCATTGCGCCCGCGAGATGTATAGGTTTAGAGTCTCCACGATGCCTCTCTGTCATGTATGTGCTTTGTACCTGCAACTCCTAGACTCTTGACACCTTGGAAGCTGATAGGATGACATCGCACGAAGCATGTGACAAGCTATGGTTTAGCGACCTCTTAATGCCTCGCTGGATGACTGCAGTCCTGTGGTGCTGCAGCGTCACAAGCCAGGGTATATCAAATTAAATCGGGCTGCCCTGAACCCTCAAGACCAAACCGTGCTCTTGGCCGAGACAGGAAAGGTTCGGGACACCAGAGCACAGGCCTGTCGACAGTCGACCTTCGCCTTCAATCCTTCGGGATCTGCAAAAACCGCCCGCATCGCGCATGTTTTCGCTTGTCTCCACGTCAACATTAGACTGCGTGAGCCGGCTCTTGGGCGCTGGCCTCTTCCCTTCCGACGTGCGAACCACCGCATGCCCAGCAAGGAGATTTCATGAAAGTGGGCTACTAGGGTTCATCTTGGAACGAATCACCCGAATGTCAGTCTGGGAAGCGGCTTCGGCTCCAAAAGCTGCTGGAGATTGGGGATTTGGGGAATTGGGGGATGCATTCGAAGTCTGAGCGGGCGCCGAGGGACTCAAACGCAAACTCAGTCGAAAGCTGCCCATGCGAAAGCCGGCCTCAATTGGAGTCGCAAAGTTATGCGGGAGCACATGCACACAACAGAGACAGAGAGAGAGGGAGAGGCAGATAATGGCAACTCAGCACTGCGAAAACAGACGTGCTGCCAGCTACTTGCAGATTGACATGGACTGGTCAGCTTCCTGAGGGCAAGACTTTTGGCCGTGTCGGGTTGCCTTTCCGTTTGGGAAGCGCTGACGCGGCTCTCTCTGGTAGTCACTGGTACAAGCACCTGCCTTGGGCGAGCCCTCGGGTGAGAGCACGGAGCTCCACGGGTCGGCCGGCGCCGGCGCTGGCGAGCAGAGGCTGGGAGAAACCAGTTGGGGAGCTTCCCAAAAGACAACCCGAAAACATCATCTACACGAAGCCACAAATGCGTCCACTCTGCTCCTGAAAGACCGCACCTTTGCTCCGGTCCTCCGCAGGCCACCTGGGAGCCTGCAGGGTCTGGATGCCCTGCCACGGTATTGAAAGCTTTGCCCTTCCTTGCAACAGCGCTCTGTTCATGAGAGCGGAGCAGCGCCTGCGAAGCGCTCACCGGCCACGGTGCTCTGCCTTCCGGTTGCTTCGGCTCGGGCATAGAGGCAGGACAGGTACTGATCTGCTGATTTGGATCCTTGAGACTGGGTCGAATGTGGTTCTGAAGTTCCCAGGCGGTTGCTACGGGCTGTGTGTTTCAGAAACTGCGTCTTCATGCAAAAAATAGATACGAGGCTACTATATTCTCGAATCCTTCAAGCTCAATCAGCATCTCCCGCAAAGGCCAGCATCCAAGTTTCGAGCGCGGGCTGCCCGGGTCAGCGTCGCTGTTTCGAGGACCTTAGCTTGGACCCCATGGCAGGTGCCAGCAACACAATGAATGAATGCTAAGCACTCAACCACTGTCCCTCCAACTCGACAGCACAGGCGATCCTATCAAACCAATGCTAAGCAGTTTTTCCCAAGTTGCTTCCAGCAGGTGTGTTTGTCCAGGGTGAGGCGCAGGGCCTCGGAACTCTGCCACTCATCTCCCCACCCTGCGATCGGATGCAAATGCTGTCTGAGGTCGAGTCCAGCTGGCCACCATTTCGGAAGCTGCCTGGGCTAGGCATTTCATGCATGCCCACGCCAGCAACACGAGAAAAAAAAAAAGCAGCGAATCACCTTGACAAACAGCGACGCGAGAACCACTCTGCGGTTCCACTCAGCTACCCACCGCCTTTGGACTGCCAACCTCAGAGTTCAGCACTCTTTTGACTCTTCCGAGGTTTGGAGCAGAGGATTCGGGGCTCAAGATGTAGCTTCCAGCATGGCGTGCTGATGCGAGTTCAACAGGCATCACTTTGGTTTTCGTGTAGTGCCTTTGCATCATGGCAGCAGAAATACACGCTGGGCAACTCTGAATGGACCCGTTGACTTGAAGCATATCGTCTTCTGCAAGTAGTTCCAGCAGTCTAGCAGCAATGCCCGTTCTAGTATTCCAGTATTGAACCCCCGCGAGGGAAGGAAGCGGGCAGGCAGGTAGTCAAACAGGTATGCCTCACGTACGGATGCATGCACGTGTGTATCGTTGCACATGCGTGAACACCTGTGTATGCATGTCTGCAATCACGCAGGTGTGCACACGTGCATGCATGCACAATGGATGGATGAATGGATGTATGCATTGCATGCATGCAAAAATCTAAGTGTAAGTGCGCGCCTGTGTATGTATGAGCTTACATACATTATTACATCGGTATATGCAGACGGACATGTGTATGCGTTCATATATATATATATACATATATGTCTGTGTGCATATTTGCGATGTCTCTACGTGTGTCTATTCGAACATTTCTGTGGTCTATGCTTGTAGATGCACAAATTGATTTATCAATCTCAATTTCTTAGAATATGTGTATACCAGTGTATCTTGACAGATGCACACACATAGCTACACGGTAAACGCATCGACACACAAGCTCAAGCACTCCAGTACATAGGTACAGAGATGTGTACTTGCATACATGTCTACATACATACACACATGCCGGTCGATAGCTAGCTGCTGGCCACGTAGATAAGTCGCTAGAAAGATCGATAGATTTGAATATAACTCGATGATGCATAGACAGATAGATTCAGATAGACAGATAGAAAGATTAAACAGGTGTAAATATAGTAAAGCGGCCAGAAACTATGTGCACACACACACAAAAGAATTAGAGAGTCTCCACTCCTCCGTGGCATGGACGTTTCAACAAAGCCCGTCGTCAAAGTATGCTGGGTTGATGTGGCGAGTGAGGGAGTGTCAGAGCGTCGTCGGTGGCTCGAGCACTGCGTGTGGCTCGATGACACACTCGAGCGCGTGCGACCACTCAGACATCAAAACCAGCTCAAGCAGTCGGCACGCAGCAGTCTAAGTGTGAGGCATTTGGCCAAGCGGAAGCCGACATCTTCGGACCTTTGGTGGCTGCGACAGCATTCTTGACTCAGTTTCGGTGCAATCCCCATATCACGGATCCCGCGGAAATCCTGCACGCGAAAATCAGGGCTCGAGCTGTCCGGAGCCGGTGCTCCACTCAGCCTCCCCGGTTGGGCCTAAATGCTGCCTAAATCTCCTAGCGACACGTCGCGCCTCCGTCTTGAAGGGCTGGCGGAGCTCGGATCCCAGACAGACCGAGACCTGAGCCGAGGCCAGGCGGTGCCTAAAACACAACGCAGTAGCAACGGCCAGGGCGCACAGGCACAGAATGGCACCGACGGCACTTTTGCTTCCAGCGGCGGCCGACGTCCAAGCATGGTATAACAAAGCCAGGACTTTTTGGGGGGAGTTGTGCGTATCATGCTCAACGTGGCCTTGTGAAGGTAGTCAGAACATGCGCGGCCCGTGCCAGCTACATTTTGATGGGGCATAAACTTGTGATTTCGGTCTTGATGAGGCCCCGTCTAACAAGCAGTGCCTTCCATACACATTCGGAGTGTTGTGGACCCGAATCAAAGAAGATCCGAAGATCAATGAGACACGTGTCATCAGACATAGCACAATCAATCAAGCTCCTGAACAGATATGACATGCTTGAAGATCGAACCGTCAAAGCCTAGCGTGTGAACTGTACATCTCGCTGGCGGCACATGAGAAGCAGTTGATTTCCCAGTTGTCTGCCGCCTGGCCTCTGCGGATTGAGACACTGCATTTCCGGGTCCTGTCTTGCTTACAGAGTGTGGGACCTTCGTGACGGATACGTAAGCAACGAAGCTTACAACGGTTTCCACAGGCACCAGGACTATCATGGGCAGTGTTGGTTTCATTGCAAGTCTAGGAGACAAAATTCCAGAGGTTTTGCCTGGTTGATGGCCTCGTGACGAGGCACAGAATTGCAAGGCAGACTAAAATCGCCATCACCATTAGCATGCCTGCAGTCTGCACGATGGGCAGGCCTAGTGCGTTCAGCAGTGGCGTGCTGGATGCCGACAACCTTGGATGCGTTGGGATGCGTTGAATCTACAAACTGCATCGTCTGACGGCCTAAATCTACCTTGCCTGAGAAGCAGACGTCGGACCTTGAACTTTGAAGGGCCTAGAGGCCAGAAGCCTTCGGACTGCGGCCAAGAATCACGAAGGGTACTGCAAAAGCAGTCGGAAGCAAGCCGGCCCGCTGGTAAGAGCTGTCGAAGCCTTCCTCAGCGACTCTGACGGCTGCTCTGCCGAAAGCGCTGAAAAGGCAATAAGCCGGGGGGGGGGGGGCCGAGGCTGGCCGAGGCTCCGAGCTCCCGGCACCGCCCAGATGGCCCAGCTTGGGCATCCAGGCCCAGACATCGTAGAAGAAGACGGCCGCCAGGGCCAGCAGGCAACAGACGCCCATCGTTACCGGAGCGGTCTGGCTTGATGCCACGAAATACCCACAGAGGCATCCTTCTAGCAACATGGTGGGCAGCGCACCCACGAGGAGCAGCAGGAAGTTACAGAAAAAGAAGGGTGGAAGCCAGAATGCCAATCCACTAGTGAAGCCCGAGTCGTTGAACCGCGTGGTGGCCACCGCGAAGAAGTTACAGAAGGCGCTCAGCATGAGAATCCAAGCTTTATCTGCGTGTTCAGCAACCGTCCAGGGGGTCACGAGGGCATAGACAAGGCCTGCAAGCCACAGCAAGAAGGCGGCATTCGTAGACACCATGTCGACATGGTAACCTGCGAGCAACGTCTCAACCGATGATGCCTTAAACGTGTGCCTGGAAAGCTTGCAACCCCAAGAGGAAGCCTGCGCAGACGTAACCGGCCACAAAGTGAGCGAAGCTGGATGCGGTGCGCTTTCCGAAGACGATGGGGTGATGCTGCCGCTGCGGCATCTTTGAAACAGCGTGACACCAATAAGGACCGCAGCTTGGACCGGAAAGCGGCTGAGGGTACGAGCAGACAACCCTTGCAACCCCTGGGCTACATTCGCCAAGCTGCATCTCCTGCTCCGGCATCTCCGGCCAGGCGGACACCTGCCAGCAAAAGGCGTGGGACTGCGAAGCTTCCTGTCGCGTCCTGCAACCCTGCAAGTCGACACATTTCCCTCTACGAACACGAATGTCAAGAACATTCATCTCTCCCAGCACGGCCTCGATTGAGTCGAGGGGCCACCTCGCGGCAGGGAGACTCGGCCACGAGGCGCCAAGGCTAAGGCGGAGCCCAATCGGCTACCCATGAGGCCCCTGAGGTACTGGCCTAGCATCTGTGCGTTCCGAGGCAACACTACCTGTTGGAGAGGCTTGCGCTGAAGGGATCCCCGTGCCCACTGACAACGGCCTCTTCCTGCCCAGTCCGGTGGCTTGACAACGACGTTTGGAGCCTTCACGGAATCTGCGAGAGCTGTGTGATGTCAAGCACAACCCCAGTGACCAAACTCTGTGGTCTCACTTCTCTCCTTGGATTTGCTCACCCCCGAGTCCCCTCCCCACGCTCCAACGCCTTGACCGGCGACTGGGAGCCAGTGGAGGGCTCGTGCCTCACAGAACGAGCGAGGCGAGGGCACTGAATGTGATCGCTCTATATGTCTGGTGCGAATCGTGACTTGTTGAGTTTCCAGAAGTTTCCGTTCTGGTACTATCACGTCCTGGCCTCTTGCATATCGTTTCCAGCCCGTGGGCCACGCCGAAGTCGTAACACAACTTCATCACCGAAGCGGAAGGTCGTGCGAGATAAGATTAAAAGAAAGTGCGAGGCCGATGAACTGAAGAACACCCAAGAACGCTTCCGCCAGAAACCATCTCGGAGCATGCAAGGTCCGTGCGTTGGGCTGCTCCATGCCTTGGTTTCCAACCAACGTCAGTCATCGGACTGCGTGGACTTTTGTGCAGCAGTAGGGACATTCGGGATTCAACAGGGGCCTAGCGGCCTAGCGCCTCGCCCTCGGAAGCGAGCCACGGAAAATCACGGAAACGCTTACAGACCGCTGCCCAGGGGCTGACCAGGGATCCGGTGGAATTGATGCACTCACAGGATCCGGTGCAACCTCCATGGGCCGTGTCCGTTCCTCCCGAGACATCTCTGCTTCTAAGAGGGGCCTCACTATCTCCAGCCTCCTATAGCTTGGCACGCTGATGCTACAAGCTACTCTTCTCAATCCTCAGAATCCTTCTGCACGGATGACTTGCGGACTAGACCGACAACTCCTCACTGCTCTTGACGTTCGATGTGGTTCGATGAGACTCTGATTGGCATCTTTGCTTAATCAGCTCGACGAGAGCTCTGTGCGAGACGAGAAATTCAACCATACCAGCTTCATGAGGGAGACCCGTCTGGCAGCATACGCTGGCGGAGTGGTTTAAGACACTGCGTCTCAACAAACAAACGGATACAGCAATGGCTGAGACTGCTGCAAGCCAGTCGCCCGTCAACACAAGTGGACGACTGGAAGTTTGAAACGTTGAAGGCTTGGGTTTGGTGCGGCTGGTCATGACATTTTACGACGCCGCGGCTTGAGAAGGGAAGGGGAGGGGAGGGAGGGGAGGGGAGAGGGGAGAGGGGTGTGGGGGAGGGGGAGGTGAAGGGAATGGAGGAAAAGTGCTCCAGCCTCCTCGAAGTGGGCCCAGGCACCGCGCCTCACAAGATCTCTCAAGCAAAGCAGCAAAGCAGTTTCACTCGAAGCGCAATTTGTCTGATTGCCGAGTGCAGAACCCCGGCGCTTCCGAGCGACTGGGCGATGCTGAACCCGCCGACGAAGGCTCCTGACACGCTCGACATTCCGAAATCCCCAAAGCCAGCCCACATTTCCGGCTCTGCCTGGTGGAAGCCATCAAAGTTGGCCCACTGAAGCCTCGAGGATTCTTCGAACAGAAAAACTTTACACAGGGTCGCTTGGTGTAAGTATGTACGGCAGCGGCTTGCATGATGCTCGTATCTTCAAGCCTGGCTTACCTTATCCCATCCCTGACAGCCCCGAATTGCCAGCTGCTTAGCGCTTGGCTCGGGAGACACCGCAGCCTGGGACTTAAAGTGGGAAGCAAGGGAAGCGGTCGCATTGAATAATGCGCTTCATTCAACTTCGAGCCTGCCTACCCTACGTCCGACTACGTCCTACGAGGACACGGAGTCGTACGTTATTGAATGTCCGCTCAGCTTGACAAGCTGTTATTTATGTGGTTGCTGCATGGCAACCAGGTGCAAGTCGCGGTGAAGAAGGTCAAAACTATGGTTCGAGGCCTTTGATAGAGTTCTGACTGTGCCTCACACAGGAAACAAACCCAAGCCTCTATCCAGTTCACGAAGCATTGCGAAAGCAAAACTTGCTAGAGCCGAGGACTTCACTGGCCAGCCCTCATCGGGCAGTGTTTCTGCCTGGCGGCTCTCAAAATCTTCTTGAGGCCATGTGGACAAGAGGAATGGAAGATGACACCTGTAACCGGACAACCGGTGACATTGATGCTGCAGCTTAACTGGTCATCAGAGTCCAGGCAAGCTAATCTGAGCGCTCGAGATATCTCTGCAAAGTTAGAGGTCGAAGAGGATGTTGCTTTTGCCAAACCTTCTGAGTACAGTTATACGATCCAATGGTTTGGCCCGACGACCGTTGTTACATGCTGCTGCCCGCAGGTGGAATTTAAGTCAGCTATATTTCAGTCCCGTGTGTATGCTTCCAATAGGGTGATTCCAGAACCTTCCTGCTCAACCGGGGCCAAAAGTTCGCTGTTCTGGCTATCGGATGCTTTCGGCTTGGCTAATGCCCGTTTGCAATGCAGATCGAGTGCTGCAAAGTCGGAGGCCGCGGAGGAGTCAAGCACAGGGCCAGAACTGAACCAACTGACACAAACCGCGCAGTGTTTCGCAGCTCGGCCGATGCTCACGAAGAACTTGCAATCACCTTCCGGCCACGCCTGTGCCTTCTTCTTGGAGGTCTGCCGGTGCTTGTGCGGTTTAGACCTGCAGGTATCAGGATTGGGTCTTCATTCACACATCGTCATGGCCGTCGTCGCCACCCTCGTCGACGTCGGTGTCGGCGTCGGCATGGCTTTCGGCATCGGCATCGTCGTCACGTCGTACCCGTGGCATCGTTGTCGTGGTAGTGGTCGTCGGCGGTGGAGGCATCTGCAATCGTTCTCGTACGTCCTCGTCGTCATCATCAACAACCGCGGCATCTGCAACAGCAGCAGCATTTCCCTGATGTTTTCCCATCCTGCCAGCCTCTGCATGTTGCGCGTCATGATCCACCATCGTCATGCTCAGCAGTAGCAACCGCCGCCACCACAGCCACCACGACCACGACCACAGTCCCAACCACGACGACAACAACAACCACAACAACGACAACAACAACAACAACAGCAGAAGCAGCAGCAGCAGCAGCAGCAGCAGCAGCAGCAGCGCCGTCATCGTCGTTCTCAGCTTCTTCTGTTTCGTCATCATCACCATTGTCGCAATCACCACCACAGTTGTAAATCTTACTCCGTGTTCTGGTCACCATCATCATCACCATCTGCGTCCGCACAGGCTGTATTTTGCCCTCTTGTGCCACTATGCTGGATCCAACAAGAACTCCTACACAACAATTTACCGCGGAAACTTGGTCCCGACCTCTTCCGTTCACTGTCGCCGGCCAGGGCATCGCTTCCTCAAATGGCTCTAAATTGCTGGTGCTGGCGGTTAAGCCGCTTGGCAGTCGCTGACGCGAAGGGCGTTCGCACGAAGTCGCTCTCGGGCCACCGCCAGCACTGGGCGACTGCGGCTCTCGCGGCTCTCGGCAGGACTGCAAGATACTGCAAGTACAGGAGTCATGCAGAATCGTTCAACGCTTGCGTGCCCCCCGCGAGGCCTTGCCGGGCTCATAGAGCCGGCGAAACTTCTCCGACTTCTCGAGGACGGCTTTGGGCCTTGACCAGCTTACAAAAGGGGCCTCAAAGCTAAGGCGCGGCTTGGCGCTAAGGCCTGGGCGGAGTTACCTCTGCCTCATCGAAGCAGACCAGCAGCGACAGAAGCGATGCGGCGTCCGGGCGATGGGAGGGATCCTCATGAATGCCAGGCTGCAGGGATGTCACTCTCTGCTGGAGTCAATAAAGGGTTGCACGATTTGTCACCTTGCGGACTCGAGCTGCTCACGACAGTCTAGACCAGCCAAGTACAGCAGAACGGCAACAAAGCAGTCTTCGACGAGCACTTGCATCGAGTTTGGCACATGCCTTCATACGGCTGTGGCGCTGACGGTAATCAATAGCCAGGTCACATTTCGGAGAAATCTAACACACAAAGCAAGTGCTCAAAATCGATGCAAAGGCAACCCTCACACCTGCGTACGAACCCGACACTGTCCCTCGCCAGGAGCCAGTGTGTAAGATCCCGCAGCTTCTCGGAATGCTCCGGTGTAGACCTTGGCTTCCCAGCAACCGCAAGGAAGTCCAAGTCAGCAGCACTTCTCCACTGACTTTGAAAGGGCACCACGACTGCCAGATGCGGCGTTCATCTCCGAACACTGGCTTTAGCCGCATGTTAGCCGCTTCCAAAAGCTCTCGTCACATAAGCTTTGAGGCACAAACAACCTTCGGTGTAAACTCTTTCAAAACGTGTCTGTGCCTGGCCCTCTCAGAGATAGGAGAGATTCTTCATGTGAGGGCCCGGCGGCCAGGGATAGCGAGCATTGGCAATGGCCAGGGGCGACTCGTCTTGGAACGGATGCCTGAATGTGCTCACAACTGCGCACATTCATACTGCCCACATTCTGGATTCTAGGAGCTTCTGGCATGAAGCACGAAGCAAGAACGGCCACAGAACGCAAGCAAAGCAGAAGGGCCTGTAAAACATCAAGGTGTACAGGATGCAGCCGATCATCCACACGTCGACCTTTTCTGAGATCGGAAACCTCAGTAGAGACAAGCAAATAGTTGGAGCCCTTCAAGTCCAGTCTCGAGCGGCGCCTCAATTGTGTCTGAAAGAAGAGTCTACCCAATGACCGCTCTGGGGGAGGTACTCCGCGAAGAAGTCAACCATCTCCGGTGGCCTCAGCTCAGGGCGGTGACTCACGAGTGTTTGACTTGTGCTTGTCTTTATGCAAGACCGCACTTTTGGTGCTGGAATCCTGAACATGGTGTTTGCCTCCGTGAGATTTGCCCTCCGATGCTGGTGCTGGGGTCAGCAGGAGCCATCCCAGGCAAAAAAATGGAGCTTAGATTAAGCAGAGTGTGAGGTCGTGTTAGGCCTTCGGTATCCAGTAACACACCTTGACTATGGTCATAGCTACACAGCAGATGCTCAGCACAACACCGATAGATCATGGTCGTATACTTGTCGATCTGCTCCTGTCTGCACTGCAGTGGGGGTGGAAATTAAGGCCGCTGTACAGATGCCTCAGGCATGCAGCTGTGCGCATCACCACACACCGACTACACTCACGCACCCACGGCTTCCCACAGCCTCAAGCCTCAACTGAGAAAGGCAAAAAGCGGAGCCTGTAGGGCCGACAGAGCTGGCTTGTCCAGGCTTCCCGGCTCGAGGCCTTCGGCTGCTTCTGGGTTGCTGCTTCGGCTGACACACGCTCACGTGGTTCTCTTCTCTTGGAGTATCGAGTTGAGTCCCTCTGCTGTCACCCACACGTTTTCGCGTCACCGGCATCAGTGAGCAACATGACATCGAAGAGCTACTCAGACTCATGATAATCCTCACCCCCTAATATTAAACGGGGTGGCCCCCCCCAATAAATATTCGAAATGCATTTTTATAATTAGGGGGTGTTCTTATCTCTACTGCCAAATTTGGGTACAATATTAAGGGATTAATTGGTAATTAAGAAAAGGACAGACTCCTGGGAATTTGAGACGCTTCCTCAACCTTTTCAGAAATCGACAATTTCTAGTATCGTTGCTTATACAAAGATTCAACTTTTGGGCCCATGACAG